CTCGGTCTCTCGGTCTCTCTCTCTCTCTCTCGGTCTCTCTCTCTCTCTCTCTATCTATCTCTTTCTTTCTCTCTTTCTCTATCTCTCTTTCCTCTCTCTCTGCACCTCCTCCTCCTCCTCTTCTTCTTCTTCTTCCTCCTCCATCTTCACTTCCATCTCCATTTCCCTCCTCCATCTTTACTTCCATCTTCACCTCCCCCCTTCTCCTCCTCCTGTTCCTCCTCCTCCTCCTTTTCCTCCTCCTCCCATTCCTCTTCCTCCCCCCTCCTCCTTCCTCTTCCTCCCCCCCCTCCTCCTTCCCCTTCCTCTTCAATCTCCTCCTCCTCCTCCTCCCCTTCCTCTTCCTCCTCCTCCTCCTGCTCCTCCTCCCTTTCCTCTTCCTACCCCCCCTCCTTCTATTCCTCCTCTTCCTCCTCCTCCTACTCCTTCCCCTCCTCCCCCTCCTCCTCTTGCTCCCCCTCCTCATCAGCTCTCTTGTGAGTAAAGTCGCCGTCCTTCCCTCAGGGGTATTTGTGAAGGGGAGGAAGAAGGGAAGGAATGATGTATAGACGAGAATAAGGAAATGGGGAGATTGATTTTCCTGCTCTCTCTCTCTCTCTCTCTCTCTCTCTCTCTCTCTCTCTCTCTCTCTCTCTCTCTCTCTCTCTCTCTCTCTCTCTGTTACTCTGCCTCTACTCACACACACACACACACACACACACACACACACACACACATATATATATATATATTGTAGTGCACGCCAAAAAAAATGCATTAACATTTAAAAGAGAATAAAACGTGAACAGATTGTTTGCTTGACTAATAATGCATTTCCCTTTCTTCTTACAACAGGTACTTGATCATGTTCCCTTTCTGTTGCAATACCATCTGCATGGATATTAGCATGGATTCTGCAAGATTGTCAAATTAGGAGGCATTCATGTGAACCGCTAGCTTCTTCAGTGTCTCCGGCCGATATTTGATCAAGCTAGGTCTGGCCTCTTGCACTTCGTTCTTCGTGATGTTCCCCGAGCTATTTATGAGGTTCAGATGAGGTTCAATCTAATACGTTAATTCTTCTATCATTTAGAAACTTTCAGACGCTCTAATTGGTGGCAAGGGTCGCTTTCGTGCATAAAATAATCATATTCATAAATTCCCTAAAGTATTGGTAAATGTTTCTTGATACGTTAATGTAATCACTTCCGCTCGCCATAACATTCATTAGAAGAAAGTATAGACCGTGCCTGTTCTTACTCCCGATGAGAGAGTTCCAATTAATCACACTGAGTACATGTTTAACTGCCCTGAGTGTGTGTTTCGGGTCGCGAGAGGACGGCCACGAACTTTAAAGCTTCCCTCGCCAACTTGAAAGTGCTTTCATCGCTCAATATCACTCTCTCCCAATCGGGTAATACTCCTTGAAAATTTTAATTCTTTATCTCTTACATAATTTTTGAAAGTTGAGGCTTCATAACTACGCGCCGAGTCGGTAAGCCAAAGTCTTTCTGAAGGCGATGCTGGCTGGTCCTGGTTGACACATCCTTGAGGAGTTCTAAATGCTTGTTCTTAAGTGTCGATGCTGTTATAGTGGGTGTTATAGTGGGTTCAGACATCACCTTAAGCTTGAGCAGTGGTCATCCTTAGCGCTCCAGATCCAAGTTTCCTCTATTTTACTTCTCTGGCTTCTAGTGTGGCAGCATCTATTTCAATCTCTAAACTGCCTGTCTTGATATCTTCATATCTGCAGATACGCGCATTAGAGACATTCGCTCTCCTAATAGCGTGAAACAACGTGTTTTCTCGTATAATGTCAGTTTGTTTCGACCCATTCTTTTAAGCTGAACTGGAATTACAAATAAAATTGGCCTACAGAAGATCTAATCATTTTAATCAGTCATCTATCGCAGACAGTCGCTTATTGGCGTAAAACACGGGCTGGTCACACAAACTAAGAACTGACTTGCCTGACTTCGCTGGCTGAACGTTCTTCTCGGAACGTTTTTTTTCGCGATGAATATGTAAAAAAAAAAAAAAAAATGCGGCCACTGCATATGTATATGTGAGTATGTATGTATATATATACACATACACACACACACGCACACACACACACACACACACACACACACACACACACACACACACACACACACACACACACATCACCTGTCTAATATTTTTCCTCATCCGTGGTCTGACTTGTTTATGTATGTATTAATCACTTCTTTCTTAGTTTCCTTTCCCATTTTTCGTTTTCTTTAGTTTGTTCGTTTGTCTTTTTTTTATTTTACATTCTGCCTGTTCTTCTTTGATTATAAACTTTTTCAGGGATCTTTTTTCTCTTTGCTTTCGATATTTTCTCTTATCTTATCTTTCTTCCTTTTCCATTTCTTCGTCATCGTTATTCCTTTATCTGATTTCCTCTTCATCTCTGTTTATAATCACATTTTATTCTTTTAATCCTACTTCTCGTTATTCAATATTCTTTGTTCTTCGTTCTTTTTTTCTTTTTTCTTTTCTTATAATTATTTTATTCTTTCTTATCTCCCACTCCATTATTCTTCCATGT